TGCTCAAGCTGTCTCAAGCTTGAAGGGTGGTGTCTCCTCACTGCAATTTCAGATTTTCAGATAATTCCATAGATGTTCAATAGGATTAAGATCTGGGCTCATTGAGAGCCATTTAAGAATAGTCCAATTTTTTTCTCAGCCATTCTTGAGGGCTTTTAGCTGTATGTTTTGGGTCATTATCCTGTTGGAGGACCCATGACCTGCAACTGAGGCTGAGCTTTCTGACACTGGGCAGTATGTTTCGCTCCAGGATGCCTTGGTAGTCTTGAGACTTCATTGTGTCCTGCGCAGACTCAAGGTTCTCTAAGCAAAACAGCCCCAAAATAAAACTGAGCCATGAATCACAGTAAGTATGGTGTCCTCTTCTTTAAAAGCTTCATTTTTCCTTCTGTAAACATAGAGCTGATGTGACTGGCCAGAAAGCTCCAGTTTTGTCTCATCAGTCCAAAGGACATTCTCCCAGGAACTTTTGGGCTTGTCAACATACATTTTGGCAAATTCCACTATGGCTTTTTTTGTTTTTCTGTCAATAGTGGAGCCCTCCTGGGTCTTCTTCGATGGAGCCCATTACTGTTCAAACTGCGATGGAGGGTGTGATCAGAAAGTGATGTAGCTTGACCATGGAGCTCAGCGTGAATGGCTTTGGATGGTTTCCTTGGCTCTTTTCTACCATCCACACTATCCTTCTGATCAACCTGGGGTTGCATTTTCTCTTGTGTCCACATCCTGGGAGATTGGCTACAGTCCCATGATCGTTATACTTTTTAGTAACATTGGAAACTGTGGTCACAGAAAGAGGAAGCTGCTTGGAGATGGTCTTATAGCATTCACCTTATAACATGTTTATCTATAATCTTCTTTCTGAGCTCCTCAGACAGCTCTCTCCTTTGCTTTATCTGGTCCATGTTCAGTGTGGTGCACGCAATGATACCAAACAACACAGCAGCATGTTCTTTCCCTTTAAATAGGCTGAATGGCAGATGAAAAGCTTGAAGGCACCTATTATACTAATTAAGGTTAAACACTTAGTTCGAAGCATGACTATAATGCAAGGATAAATAGTCTTTTTAGGGGTACCAACAGATCTGTCCATACTATTTTAGCATATCTTTGAAAAATAAACAAATTTCTTTTCACAATATTACGGTTTACTCTGTGACATACAAAAGGCATGCAGGTATACATTAGACAATTGCTTTTAATTGAATCACTTTTCAGGAGAAATGAAGCATGCTTCAATAAGCTCTAAGGGTACCAATAAATTTGTTCACATTTGAATGTTTTTAATATATTTCAGTGTTTGTATGTGTGCACTTCACATTTAATAGCCTAGCTGTCCTGCTTAAAGTTACTGGTAGTAAATGGACAGAATTATGAATTAAATATTTGAGGAAGATGGTGACGCAAGAGGTAGTGCTATCGTTCGGCAACAGGCGGTTACAGGTTTGAGTCCTAATTCCTCCTGACCCCATCAAAGTGTCCTTGAGCAAGACACTGAACCTGGGATGCGATATTTGTTTATCGCATCATTTAAATGTGTAAAAGTCAAATAGCATCCGACGTTCTAGATTCTTGAGCAAGACACTGAACCCCAAATTGCTCCCGGTGTGCAGGTTGGTGCCTTGCATGGCAGCCTCCGCCACTGGTGTATGGATGGGTGAATGTGAGGCATGTATTGTAAAGTGCTTTGAGTACTTGTAGGAGTAGAAAAGCGCTATATAAATGCAGTCCATTTACTAAATAATTTATACAAATTATTAATGAATAGATATAAAATACATAATATTGAAGTTACATGATGCACATTGTGCCCCATGGTTTAATGCTTAAAGCACACTTTACAGGACATGTCCAGATCATTTAGGTTTATCCTTGCCGTCACATTGCAGCAAATGGCAAGTGGGCAAGTGTCGTTGGAACGCAAAACGATTGCGAGGGAACACAAAAGTATTTAAAAAAATAACAAGTGATAGCCCTAGTGCAACTGCCCCCAGTTTGGGCCTACCTCACTATTAAAACTTTCTTTTGGTATTTGTGTGTGATTTGGGTGTTTATACAAAGCTGCGTGGGAGTGTCTTGCCATCATATATGTGATATGATTAATATTCTAATATCTACAGCTAAAAAAATCTACAGTGGACCCCCTTCATCCGCAGTTTGGCTTTCTACGTTAGCAGTTACCCACGGTCATCCGTTGTCCTAAGATATTAAATGGAAAATTCCAGAAATAATTTGTGTATTAAATTGCATGCTGTTCTGAGTAGCGTGATGAAATCTCATGCCATCTCACACGGAACCTGAATCACCGCTTCAACCAGCGCATCCACGTTGTACATGGTACCGCTGTTTAGTCACTTAGTGGCGTCTCGATTATCAGGTCGACTGTCCTGGTATCACATGTGACCACATTCACTTTTATTACACTATATTGTCATAATTATTCCATTTTATTATTAGTCTTTATTGTTAATCTCTTATTGTGCCTAATTTATAAATTAAACTTTCATAGGTATGTATGTATGGGGAAAAAAACAGCATATATAGGGTTCGGTACTATCTGTTGTTTCAGGCGTCCGCTGGGGGTTTTGTAACACATCCCCCATGGATAATACCATATACGTATTCGACAAAACTGGAAGAAATCGTAAAGTCTAATGGTTTGATATATTTAAACTATAGAAGATAGACAGTAATTTATAAGAGTGTGGCATGGAGGCCCAGTGGAGAGCCTCACACTTCCAGGACCTAAATCAGGCTCCTCACTCTCTGCCTGCAGTTTCCAGATCCTCACTGGGTTTCTGTGGGTTTTCTCCCAAAGTGCAAAAACATACCTATGAACGTGTGCCTGGCACGGGCATCGACAGGTCCAAACGCTTGGGGTACAGCCCTGCGTACTTTAAGCCTAGCACCGAGTATTTTAAGCCTAGCACCGAGTATTTTAAGCCTAGCACAGGGTATTTTAAGCCAGGCACCGAGTATTTTAAGCCTAGCACTGAGTATTTTACCCCCACTGCCAGTCTTCCTTTAAATAAAAAACAAAAGCCCCGGGTAAACTTGAGCTTTCTAAATGGCTAGAAACGCCCCTTGTACCTGGTGATGGACTAGCAACGTACGATGGATTTTGGCAACACAACTCACCCACCCTAACTGGATAATGTATACGAAGCAAGAAAATGAAAGAGCAGCTCTGAAACTAACTGAAATTGGCTGGCTAAGTCAGTGCCCCCTAGAAGGACTTGTGCCTTCCAGGGTGCCGGCAGAGATCAGCTACTCGATGTGTGGGGAGGAGAACAGTGTCAAAAACACTATTAGGTAAAAAAAAAAAAAAAACAAAAACAAAAAAACAATTATGTTAATTTATCAAAAACGCTATTAGGTTAGCTGTTACTGTCAGCTGAGTCTGATACTAGTCCAGTAGTTGGTGTATATAACATTATATGTATGTGTGTATAATATTTTATCCAGTTAAACAAAAGAATGCAAGGGCTAAAACATATTTTCACAACATTATAACCATTTGATTGATATTGTTCAGCTAATTCTAATTCTAATTAATTTTTAATTTTTCAGTGGATTATTCTGCAAGTATTAATGCATTATTTAAATGACCTATCCATTTTTATTCATTTCCCAGAAAACCAATTATATTTAAAAAGCCATTCAAAATCTTAGCGATTTTTCTAACAATTTATCTATAAATTAAGATAAAATATAGTTCGTACACTTGAGAAACACTGCGGAAAATAACTGTATTACTATCCCGGTCATCTTATGCATGTGAAAAGGGGTTTGTGCTGTTTAAATCTGGTTTCTTGTTCGTTATCAATATATGCAAAAAGGGATGGATTTATCAATGCAACCATGCAAGACCATAAAGAAGACGAAGAGTGATTCTTACGGTTGACACTGCAGGAACCTTTCAGGTATCAAAGATCTTAAAACCGACAAGAAATGCATTTGAAATTCATGCTCATGTTTGGTGTATATTAAACACTATATTTAATGCTCTCATTTTTGTTTTTTTCATCCATCTATCCATCATCCATCTATTCAGCTATCCATCCATCCATCAGCATAGGAAAGAGTTTGATACGGGGGGGGGGGTCTTAATTTTACGGGGTTTTTTTTATACTGTCACATATTTATTTCAGCTGTTATTTTACTCTGTAGCACATTGGATACAAGGAATGCGCATTACAAATAAAATATATTAATATTTTGTCATTATTATTCGTCTTATTATTATCATTATTATTAATAATAATACATGATAAATGTAAAAGTCTATTTTTAGGGAGGATGAATGAAGCCAAATTAAATATTGGGAAGGTACATGCACCCCCATTCCCCCTGGTAGGGGGGGGCGATCCACGTTTTTTCAGATCCGATTTCAATACACAACTGCCGATACTGATACAGATTCTGATAAAAGAGCTCTTTTTTACTTTAATATTTATGCTTAATACATTATTAATATTTTTTAAACTAGAAAATGCAAATGAAAAAAGTATATGCCAAAACAGTATTGTTAATTAGGCTACCAGAAACATACATAACGAACTGTTTCCATCTCATTTGTGCATCTTGTTTTAAGCGTTTGAGGCATTTGCAGTTCAATTTGAATATCCTTCAAGAGAGGACACGCAAATGGCGAATGCTTAAAATGCACCACAATTTTTCTCCCTTTGTCAGCAGCGTCACTTGCACTTCACTGCGATAGCAGACCCTCGTGTAACACAAGCTGCAGTAAGGGCGCAAAACAGCCCAAGCCAGCGACTCCCAAACCATCCATTGCTTTTCTCATATTACTCGCGTATTACTCCGAATATTGGAATGGTGCATTTCTACCCCCTGGTTTCTGCATCACTGTCTGTACGTACAATCTGCCCATTGCCACTTTGCTGGACACGAGCTAAAATTTGACACAAGCCCTCCTGACTGGGCAATACATGGATGGATGGCAGAATTAGTGTCAGGAACCCAAATTAGATGTCCTACCAGATTCATGTTCGTAATTACACATAAAAGGGGGTAAACAACCCCTTCTGCACCCCAGCATGAAGATTATTACTTATATGGGTGAGATTTGTTTTAAAGTGGCCCAGGAGGTAACAGAACAAGAGCTTACCTCTCTTTATATCATCCAGCTGGGGCTCCGGTGAGGGATTGTCCTTGGTGGGGGACGTCTTAGCACCAGCCCCTGGTTTGGTGGGGGCTCTGAACTGGGACGGGGGCTGAGGCACCCTCACTGACTGCTGTTCTATGCGAGCCTGTATTTTGCTACTGCCTTCAGCTCTGAAAGGCAGAGGCCGTCGCGGGAAGGAAAAGGAAACTATTTCAGACAAAATGTTCCAGATGACACACAGTGAACATGGTATAGGCTTCGTCTCACACAATAAAAATGTACTTTGAACTTCTTGCTAATATTCAGTGATGTCTCACCTGGTTTTTTTCACTTGTATGCTGCTGCTGAGCTTTTCCAGCATAAACTCCCCAGTGTCATGATTAATGATGAGGACACAGTCTTTCTGGTAAGGCCGCTTGTTCCCTTTGAATACGGTCATTGGTGGTGTCGAGCCCTTCAAAAATAGCCGCAACAGCATGACACTCAACATAAGAATTTTACGTTTTTGTAACAATGACAATGGCTGTAGAAAGTAAACAGCTGAAGAAATGCAAGACTTACGGGAATATGAGGCAAAGTTATGGTGACCTCATCTCCTTTTCCCACCTGCAGTTCACCCTCACATGTGGTGTCAATGGAAGCGGGTTTGAAGTCATCTGCAGGAAGGAGCGAATGCCGTGAGAGTGAAAGTGGGAAGGATGGTGTTAGAGGCAATTTGGGCAGAAAGAACTAAAAGAAAAAATGTGCAGAATGGGGTGAATGTAACAGAAGATAGAATGAACGGAGTGTGTGTGTGTGTGTGTGTGTGTGTGTGTGTGTGACAGCAGACAATAAATACAGGGTGAAACTGAGAGTGGAGTGGATGTGCTGACAGTGGAAATGATGGAAAAAGGCGGGCGGGGGTTGAAAACATACACCTGTACTGGATGAAAGTGATCATTTTACGAGTTAGCGCCTTAGAAAACAGGAGCGATTGCTTTAAAACACTCGACCACTGCGAAGAATACTTATTCCTATCTACGGCGCTGACAACCTCAATAACAAACAGGAGACGCGTTTTAACGTTTTAAATGAGCGCTCCATAACAACTAAGATATCTAATAATGGGAATGATGACTTTATGAACACAAAACCCGCTCGACCAGTGCCAGTTTCGGCTTTTAGTGGACAGAGTGCTCGGTATAATATTGTCGTCTTACATCTGATGGTGTGAAAAGACGATTTCGGCCGCTTTTCAAAGCTCTCCCCAAGCTTCAAAACATGTTCCTCCTTATCCAGCAGAGGGTTTGAACTCCCGTTCATAGCTCCAAATGCTGTATTCACATCAAAACGTATGCGTGGACGTACAGGCGACACGAAAGGCAATGTTAACGGGTGAGTGCAGAAGATGGTCAACGGAGACGCGCACAGACACCCCGGCGTGTTTTTTTCAAAACATCCCAGACGTCATGTTGACATCTCTCTTCCTGTCCGCCTCCATCAGCCAGACGGAGCCGACCATACCGGCGATGTTTCCCAAAGCAGTTCCCTGCTGGTCGGTCAGGCCCTTAGAAAACCAGTTAACCCAGTTAAAACAAGACGATGCCACAGAACTGCCGCCCCGAACAACGCGGAACGAATGTGTGCCTTTTTACCCTACATAGTTCGTTTGATGTCTTTAAATACTTTAATTCACAATAAAAGGTTTATTGGTGGTATATGTCACTATATGAAATTTAATCCCATTATCAAATATATATCTCAAAATTTAAACCGCAAGTTTAAAACTATATATTTGTTTACTTCCCAGAACAACGCTGACAATTTTAGTTCCGCAACGTTGTTTTGTGACGGACGACATTAACTGACGGACGGGCTGTAATTTGCTTCTTTTCGGATGATGCTGAGCTATTTTGGGTCTTGGCGTATAAATAAATAAGCTCGTCTGCCTATAGACGGAGTAACTGGAAACCAATACAGACACATGCTTTTTATACATCGCTTGAGGTGATGCTCAAATGAATTTATAAATCATATGCAGACGAATTACATATATTTACAGGAGATTTCTTTTAGTGTCCGACTGTCACCAACAGTCTGTAAGAGTTATTTTGTGCTGAAGAAATAACTAGATCTGTTAGTGGCTAAACAAGACGTTTTCTATGGCACAGGTTAGTGAGACGATAGACTTGGTGGAATGTGACGGCTCTTCCATTACTGTGTCTTGCTCGGAGGAGCTCGTCCAAAGCGTGGAAACCACTCTGAGGAGCCTCACTGAGGAAGAGCTGGAGAAACTGAAGAATGATCTCAGCTTGGTGTCGGATTTTAAGCAACAAAAGCTGGAAAAAGAAGCTCAGAAAAACTGGGACCTGTTCTACAAAAGAAACACAGTTAATTTTTTCAAAGACAGACATTGGACCACCAGAGAATTTGAAGAACTAAGGGGATGCCGAGAGGTACTGATCGTTTACTTGATAACTCTTTGATGTTCAATCGTGCGGATAAATAAAAAATTAAGACCAGACCATTTCTCTTGGTAGTCTGAGAACCAGAAGCTGGTTTTGCTGGAAGCTGGATGCGGGGTGGGGAACTGTATATTCCCACTTCTGGAGGAGGAACGCAACATTTTTGTGTACGCCTGTGATTTTTCACCGCGAGCAGTCGACTTTGTGAAAGTAAGGAACACGAGTCCTGTAGAAAGTCGCTGTACTTATTAGTCATGTCATACTCTTTACACACTTTTGAAAAGGAAAGTTCAAATCCTGTTTTAGTGAGACTAGTGTTTGGTTGTCCTTTCAAGTATAACCTGACTGAAAGCATTTTTGTAATTTCTGCAAACTTGTTTTCACTTAAAAAGGCTATTGTTAAAAATTGTCCTACAATCAGCTGTATACAAATAATGGTTGTCACGGCTTGCCAAAAAACCTCACCCACCCGGATTACAAAGACAAATGTGTTTCTGTAGTCTTCAGTTGATGGGAAAACATGCACAAATTTTCAGTTAATGGAAGAATGGTGGTGGTGGTGGTGGTGGTAGTAGTAGTAGTGGAGAGAATGAGGGATACACAGGATCACACAAATTTAGTATGAGTGCGGAGCAAATCTGTTGCTGACAGAGGTAACCAAAAACCTGCAGACAACTGTGCCCCCTGACCAGAGGTTTACACCTGTGTCATCTTTTGAATTGTAATTAAGCTGGCCACCAGGGGGCCACATTCCTTTATTATGGTAACCTACCACATTGTGCTTCTTGACCGGCTCCACTATCCTTATTAGTTCAGCTGGACCGTTAATCAGCCGAACATATACAGTCAGACACTGCCTCAGATAACACCTGTACCATGGTCCTTCATTTAGGATTCTCTTTGTAAAAAGTTACTTGGAATCCTTACTCATTCAGATCAAACCCAGCACTAAAGATAACTAACAAATTACAAAAAGTATCAACAATAAATAGGCAATAGATCAGTGAGTTTCTATAGATCAGACGATCAGCTAAAACATAAAGAGACTGTTCTTAAGTCTAGTGGTCAGCATTCTGCAGCAAAGTTCCTACCAAACATCAGGGAAGATGTACTAGACCATCCGTGTCTTTCAAATAGCCATAAAACGGCATTTGGGATTCCAGTCTGAAGCTCTTAAGGAGAATTTAGCTTGACTTATTATACAGCATTTCAGTTGCTGCAGCTGAGCTCTTCCCAACAGCTTTAAGTTAAGAGTGCAATGCAGCGAGGAAGGTCACACTTCCTACTGCTTGCCCTTATTGTACATCAGCCGTCTTTTCTCAGAAAAACCCTCTGTACCATGAGAAATGCTGCAAGGCCTTTCAGTGTGACCTGACGAAAGACGACCTGGCAGCCAGCATCCCTGAGGGAAGCGTGGATGTGGCGACGCTTATATTTGTGCTGTCTGCCATCCACCCAGAGAAGATGCTTTTGGCCCTGGGGAACATATTCAAGGTAAGACAGCCTCCCTTTAGTGGGGAGCGTCCTTTACATGCATTTCACGTTGTCCATTATGGCACATTGCCATTACACTGCCTCTATTTTTTCTGTTTTACAAATAAACCACAAGCAAACTGGAGATAGTAAAGTAGACTTTCTTATTGTTGAAGTACAATGTAGAGTCTATAAGCATTTTCAGTTTTACTGTTTGTTCTATCTGCGACTGTAAGGTAGTTTACTGAAGCTCTGGAGTTACTTCCACAAACATGGGTGTGAGAATTGCTCTATATGTTATATTTCATTTTTGGGTTTGATCCTGTGACACATGGCCTTGTCTGGCAGGTGCTGAAACCAGGCGGCGTGATCCTGTTCAGAGACTATGGCCTATATGACCACGCCATGCTCCGGTTCAAACCGGGGAGCAAGCTGGGGGAGAATTTCTATGTGCGGCAAGATGGAACAAGGTCCTTTTTTTTCTCCAAAGGTCTGTAACCTGAAGAAGTCAGGACACACACCTCCAGGACTGTGGGTTTGATTCCTGTCCCCAGTTCTGTATATGTGGAGTTTGCAAGTTCTTAGTGTGTTTCTGTTGGATTCTCATCTATACCCCATTCTTTTCACAGTGCAGAAGGTCATAGTTAGGCAGACTGATGTCTTTAAATTGCCTGAGTGTGACTGAGTGTGAGCCCTATGAAACGCTTGTTAGTGATGGCCAAATCAAGCTTCATGAACAACTTGCTGTATTTTCTGACTCCCCCCTATATGGTGCTGTCTGTTCAATAAAAAAGGGCTCAACACATGCCCCAAAGTAAGCCAAGAGCACCATCTAGTGGGGTAAAAGAAATACAGCAATTGGTTCATGAGGCTTAATTTGGTCATCACTAGGGCTGGAATCTCCAGAGTTTTCCTTGTCTTATGCACTGTGCTTTCTGGGATTGGTTCCAGGATTACTATGATCCTTTATGCAAGATGGATGGATCAACGGATAACAGACTTTATGTATTTATATGACCTGACACAGTCTTTGTCAACTTTGTTATTAATTTGCTTGATTTGTTGAGGTTATACGTATTTTTCAGGCTTACACCTGGCTTCATATAGTGTGCTGTGAGAATCTGACTTGCCACTCAGAATGCTGAGGCCCTAGACCTTGGGCCCATGGGTGTTTCACCTCATGCTCTTCTGCCCGATCCACAGAGCGATTGGCCGAGCTGTTTGCCGGTGCTGGGTTCCTCACCTCTGTGAATGAGTATGTGCTGCGCGAAACCGTCAATAAGAAGGAGGGCCTGTGTGTGCCTCGAGTTTTCCTGCAAAGCAAGTTCTGGAAGCCAAGCCGATGACCAATGAGCATCTGGAACCTGAGAGGAACACAGAGACTCCGCCCTATTAGCGCACCCCTTTGACCTCACACCATGTGGAATCATTTATTTGGCTGTAACAGCTGAAATAAATGAGTTTACTCACCAGTTTTGCCCCAAACCATAAAGCAGATGAAAACTTCTTTCCTCCTTTCGTTTTACGAGTCAGAGTATTTTAAGAATTTAAAGTTCTGTTTCAGAATGCTGCAAATTGTTTTATCAATGAAATGTTTTGAACTTTTTGTTTACTGTTTTTCAAATAAACAATTGAATTTTGAAAATGACCATCATTACAATTTAAGATTTGTCGGTGCAATGCAGTTAGTGTCTGGTAGCCATTACTTTTAAAGGACGTTGAGGCTAGATGCCCATGGTGCACGAGATTCCCTTTGGCTGAAACCAGTCAGTGATTGACAGCTCACTTTAATCCCTCCCACTGTGGGCTCTGAAGCCGCATCTGTTCCAGGGCTCGAGTTGCCATGGGGATGCATACTTAACTAATGGGCTTCACGTGTTCAACCTCCTACCCACTTGAAAAATATTCTCATTACACCCCCCCCCCCCCCCCAGCAGGAAATGTTACCTTTTTCGTCCTGGGAGAGGAAATTAATGTACTGCCGTAAGAGGGCAGCATACACTTTCCCATAATCTATGAAAGCTACCAAATTCCATTTACTATTTGTTTTCTGATAACTAGGACACGCAATCTATATGAATGCATCAGTTACTGCGGTACAGTGGTCTAGTTATATGACATCAGCATTGTTCAGTATGTTCACTTGTGGAGTAAGCACAGTCTGTTTCCCTGCAGCACTAGGCTTCAAGTACAAGCAGTTCTCAAGGTTGACACACCACAAACCAGATACCTTTTGTTGTTTCTGGCCTGACGTGCAGTTTAAAAAGGTCTAATCTCTTCTTGAGGAATGGGAGAGCTTCTATAAGTGGTTCTTGAGGGGCTGGTGTTGGGTCAGAAAGAGCATTTCCAATGTTCATTGTAATACCAAATTGTCAGAAATAAGCAGCAACATTTTAAATAGATAAATACAGCAAAATATCTTTACGCAATCATTTCAAATCCAAAGACACCCTTTCTTCCAAGGTTGTAGAGTTCTGGGTTTTGAATGTGGCACGCAAAATGTTTCCATGTGGTTCATATTTTTTTTTTTGAGGAGGTGAAAAATCATTCTTCACTGTGTTTTTTTCTTGTAAACATTAATTATGTTTTCCTGCAACCCTGACCAATTTGTGCCCCTGAGAGGAGAGGTTCCACCTGTGTCATCTTTATTTTGCTGTTGTCTGTGGTAAGTGCATTACCACTGTCTCCCTTGAGTAAATTACACATACTATAGCACAGTATTGTCTTTCATCAGGTGAGCCTGATGATGGTTACCAGTCGTCATAGAAACAACGGAATACACAATCTTATGAAATTGCTATTCTGAAACATTTCCCAGTATAGTAAAGTGATGTGAATTAATGGTGCCACTCTCTCCAAAGCCACTGTCATAAACAGTGACCCTCTGCAGCTTGCGGATGAGTTCACATATCCATGGAGCTTTGAACCGTAAGGCAGAAAGATGTTTTTGTGCTATCTGGAGGTCCAAACACTCAGCTTCAAAAATAAATCCAACTTCCCAAAAACAGTGTTGAACAATACACTGTCAAATGCATTATGCATTAGAGTTGGAGGGTCATCACACTAGACATGAAGAAGGCTGCATGAGGAGAATATCTAGCCACCAGGACTGACATCATGCATGGATCACCAGATCCCAGAAACCACTTCATCATGCTGAAGTCTTGCTGGAAAGAAGGGCCGATGGCAGAGAGCTCTGATCTTACACTGCTCCTCCTCTATCTTGACCACCTTGGCGATCAGTAGCTCCTTCCTCTCCTTCTTTGTGGCTTTGGACCACACCCCTCCACCCAAGACCCGTTCTCCCTGACTGTGTCCTGCTGACGACCTCGTGGTGTTTCAGTCTGTTGATCACCTGGTCAACTGCCTGTTCCACTTGCGACCTGTTCGAACCGGGGCCTTGGTGTTCTGCACAGCTGGACCTGATGAGTTCCTCAGCTCTAACACAAGCCTCACCTTCTCCAGTCTGTAGCACAGGTAGATAGACTTCACTGGTAGCCGAAGTGCATTCCTTCCAAAAAGGGCTGTGCTGGAGAGACTTTGGGGTAAACCTGGCCATTTCCTGATGTACTTTTTGGCTTTTGAGTCTATCTTCAGCACTGTTGAGTTGGAGATCTCGCACTTCTTGAGAGGCCACATCAGACACCTGTATAAAATGAAGTGGTAGCACCAGACCTTGAATTTACCCAGGAGATGGCTGAAGTTAATTGGAGGTACCATATTGCAGATGTAAATGGTGTGTCACTGTGCCCTTTATAGAGTGCTCTTATATATAAGAGACCACTCTATATTTTTAAACAAATCTGCATTTTTAAATCTCGCTTTAATCATGGTTCTGCTGGCAGAAGGTTACACTGAGCAGCAGGTTGCTTCCAGGTTCAAAATTTCTAATACAGGAGCACACAAGAATGAGGTGAAGCAGGAGACACTGGGAGCGACCAGAAACCAGCCAGGTAGGGGGTGGAAGTGAATTAACAGAGATGACCGTTAACTTATCCGACAGTTTCTCATGAATTGCAGGATGACATCAATTGACCTTCAAAAGGAATGGGAAACATTAAGTGCAGGTGTGAAGTGCACTGCTAGGACAGTTCGTATCAGCCTATTAGAAGCAGGACTTACGAGTAGGTCCTATAAAGCAAGGAAGAAGCCCTTCATCAATGAGAAACAGAGAAGAGCCAGGCTGCAGTTTGCAAATAGGTTACACGGATGCATACTCATAAATTGAGAAATGAGTGAAACAAAAAATTGTGCTGTGGTCTCTTAATTTCTTCCGCGGCTGTATGTGTATGTGTATGTGTATGTGTGTGTGTGTATATGTGTCTGTATGTATGTCTGTGTACATATATGTTATCTGGGTTTCTCGTTATGTTTCATTGATCTCCTCATAGTATGAGCATCAATTTCTAGTAAGGATTCTACAATCTCTGTATTCCGTTTGTCATCATCATTAATAAATCATGTTTGTATTGTGTGTCAGCCTGTTGGGAATATATTTGGGCATTGTAGAAATGCTGAAAGCATGACATGTGGTGACCTGTTTCCCAGTGGTTATTGCCTGTGACTTGATTGTGTTTTACGGTCTAGATGTTCTCCATGAGTTGCAGAAGACACATAAAAAATACATGTCTTGTTTTTCAATAGATGAGCATGACTTCAGTCAAACTTGAAACAGAATATTGGAAAGCAGATTGGAATGATTGTGTAGAGTCTTCACTTTTGTTTTTTTCTCAACCTGATGTCAAAGTCAAAAGTCAAAATCAAACTTTATTGTCATTCGGACCATACAATTCGACAGTGCATAGTAGTACGCATAGTAGTATGCATAGTATGCATAGAGTGCATAGTTATCAATAAAGGATTTTAATCGCTGGTTTCCCTTTTAAAGTCAGTTACTAGCTGGGCTCCTGACTAGCCATCGATGACCAAACGCAGATCTGATGATGCCTCCTCACCCACGGCAATCTGAGGGCTTGGGCTTCGCGAAAACCTTGGTTGAACGGCTTTAGACAATCCGCGTCTTGGAAGGATGGAGCAGAAGTTTTAGTAATAGAAGAGAAATCAGGAGAAAAGCCCTTTACTTAGCTGTAATCTATTAGTAATTATTAATCATAAAAAGCAGGCTTTTCTCTAGGTAGCAAGAGATCATAACAAAAGTAGAGAAACTTCGAGAGAGTGGTTATGTTTGCTTCTTAAGATGTGTTTATCACATTTTCCATGCCTTCCAAGTTCCTGTGTCCCAGAGAATTGTATGTTATCCTGGAGGACTCCCCCAGTTTTCCTGATGATGTTATTCAATTCAATTTTATTTATATAGCGCCTTTAACAACAGTCAGCACTTTACATATAACCGGCCCGAACCCAAACCAAGCAAGCCTGAGGCGACAGTGGCAAGGAAAAACTCCCTCCCCTTCCCTAGCAGGAAGAAACCTTGAGAGGAACCTAGACTCGGAAAGGGATCCCATCCTCCTCTGGGCGACCGGGGAGCATGAAAATGTTATGTACATATTTGTCTTGTATATACTGTACATCTCAGTGTTGCATGCGTGTTGTAGTCATGTTACTTGATCTCTCCCACCTACTCCAACCTCTCCTTCCTCCAGCTTTTCCTTTTCATTTCTCTAGCAGGGTTTTTTCTTCATAAAGGCATGCCGAAATAGACCTAAGGATTCTCTGGGTCCTTGGGAAGCCACTAACATTGTGGTGTTCAGAGCAGAAGGGAGCGCGACTGGTTCCAGCGCACCACAGAGGCTCTGGAGTGTCCTTCTGAGAAAGAGCAAAGTGTCAAGCCCTACTGGTTCAGGAAGAAAGAAAATCTTGTTTCTTACATGAATTGCAGCTCTTTGTGTTCCCTGTAGTGTCTATAGCTATGGTGACACCTAATCAGAATGTCACTTTATTACTGATTAGGTTGTGACTAAATCAAACACCCCCCCTCCCCCAACTGAAAGTGCTGGTAGATTTCTCAGACACCTTTCAAACCAAAGCTAATTTAGTGATGAGAAACACCCTTGTTGTTAAAGATCCGTTGTAACAGCCTTGTTTGAATACTGTCTTTAGTCGCCATACTTTAAAATCAAGAATAAGAACCACACGCATTGTCCTTTCTGCTTTTGAGGTCTGTGATAACTTTATTATTGCATGAAAATCCTAAGGCAAGCATCCAGTTCAAACACACACAACCCAAGCATGTAAATCTGGGGTAAATGGTGGAATCACGAGGGACACAGGATGCCCAAGAAAGGTATAGTGACATAGAGCACACATTTATTACATTTATTATTTTAGGCACCAGCTCTGTTATAATGAGATCAGGAAGACACTTAAGCTCATTGGTTCCTTTCTGTACCTGTCCTGGCTTGTCCTTGTTCCTCTGTGTTCAGTAACCAAGGATCACAAGTATGCGAGGTTATCTGTCTAACAACCTGCCTGTGGAATTCAAACAAGGAGTTTCTTTGGCAGAATATGCCACTTCCTGTAAATGGCATGTTCACTGAGCTGAAAGTCCCGACTAGATGTCCTAATGCTGAAACAGGCAAACACTCAGGTGAGGGTCTGTAAGGTGTGCCTTAAATTTGATGCTAATTATGGGTTTTTGGGAGAAATCATCCACGGGAAAACTACAATACGTGAAAATACAGGTCTGAG